GGTTCCCTCCCCACCTCCAACAGCGTCAGCTCTACTCTGCTGCCCTGACCAGGTGTGCAGGGCCTGCTTGCCCCAACCCTGTGGCTGGTTTGTTGCCTCCCCTTTATCAGTAGGTGAGGGGAGGACTTGCTATTTTTTGTTTTTTAGGACCCAGATGACCACCTATAACTTCAGTTCCAGGGGATCTAGACCCCTCCTTTGGCCTCCGAGGGCATTGAGCATACGTGTGGCATCTGCGTATAAAGCAGGTGAAGCACTCATTCACATAAAGTAAACAAACAAACAAATTGTGGTGGTTTGAGTAAGTGTGGCCCCACAGACTCCTATGTTTGAATGCTTGGCCCATAGGGAGTGGCACTGTTAGGAAGTGTAGTCTTGTTGGAGTGGGTGTGGCTTTGTTGGAGGAAGCTTCTCACTGTGGGAGTGGGCTTTGAGGTCTCCTATGCTCAAGTTTTGCTCAGAGTGGCACACAGTCTCTTTCTGCTACCTGAGAATCGAGATGTAGAACTCTCAGATACCTGTCCAACACCACGTCTGCCTGCATGTGCCGTGTTTCCCACCATGATGATGGTGGACTAAACCTCTGAACTGTAAGCCAGCCCCAATTAAATCTTTTCCTTTATAAGAGTTGCCATGGTCATGGTGTCTTTTAACAGCATAAAAACCCTAACTAAGACAAACCAAACAAAATCAAAAGTAAACAAAAAAACTCAAGAAAAGGCAAAAAACAAAATACCAAAACCCAAGACCAAACTCAGAAAACAGAGTGCCTGAAAGTCTTTCTAACAGGGTTACACTGGCCACTACCAGCGGGAATGTTTTGTTGATGAAGTATGAGAGTTTCCCAAGGCACATATAATGTTTTCTAGGTTTGTATTTAGGAAAGTCATGCGCTATTCATGCTTTTCACGCCTGGGCTTTTCAGTTCCTAGTGGCGTCCAGTTTCATCCCTGTTGCTGCAAATGACGGATTTCATGCTTCGCAAAGACTGAATGGCGTTGTCTTCAGTGTGCGCATCACTTTCCTTTACCTGTTCATCCGTTAATGGGTGCTGCTTATTGATAATTGAGCATAGTGCTGTAAGAAATGAAAAATGCAGAATACCGATTTTGCTTCCCTTGTGTATGTACAGTAGTGGGATTGCTGGACCATGTATGCTAAGACCCTTTGTTGCTATATTCTCTATAGCAAAGAGGGGAGTAGTAGTGGTTCATGATTTGGGTTCATTTGCGAGAACACTTTTTGGTTTTTAAATTGAGATAATTTTTACCTGTTACCTTTTAGAAATTAAAATAAAATAAAACCCTAGCTGCATGTGATAGAACAAAACCCTTAAAGATAGAGTATTCTAAATGTGACTTTATTGTATTTGTGTAAATATAAAATACCAGAATGCTGTGTCCTACACAAACGCAGTTTAGTGACAGTAAACATGTATTCAAAGCAGAGATGAACTGGTTGGATTGATGATAGGCTCCTTTGTGACACTTACACAGGATGTCCACCTTAAGAAATGTCTCGTATTTCATGCCTGGATTAGTACAAATGATTGTCTGCGTCGTATGTAATATTTTCCTAATCCTGAGAGGCACCCTGCTATATGTTGGAGAGACTTTGGTTTGATTCTCTTGATTTTATTACCAAAATTATTGAGGAAATCACTTAAGCTTTACTTTTCTTTCCTACTAACTAACTACTTAAAAGGTTATAAAGATCCACTAAGGAAAAAAAAAATGTGTCGTATGTACATAGTACAGTGCCAGAAAGGTATCTAATAGATCTTTTAAAATTCTTAAATTACATTGTGTGTGTGTTTGTGTGTGTGTGTGTGTTTGTGTGTGTGTGTGTGTGTTTTTGTGTGTGTGTGTGTGTGTGTGTGTGTGTGTGT